GATTATTTTAAAATCAAACTAGCGTGTGGTACTGTATAAAATTCTGTCTGGTAAATCAAATCAAATATAAAAACTGACATGCTAGTTGAAACATCGTAAAGCGATAGCGGAAGTCAAACGTGGTAAAACATAACTGTACAATAATGTACAATGGCTGATAGCCAAATCCTTGACCACGAACCATCAATCCAGCTCACTCCTCTAGTCCGACTTTGTAACCTGAAAAACATAGAAATCGTGGGGCGTGAGCACTAAAAGCCACTGTGCTCCGCAGGAACTCATACTAAAGTAAACAGTGAATATAGTAACAATATCATGATCCTGGCATATACATAACCATCAGTTTGTACTGGTAAACCATTACCATCACATAACTTTACCTCATAACCGTTACCTCATATGCCAGCATGAAAATTCCGGACCCCATGTGCACACTCTAGTGGGCAGACTAGGCCACTAGAACCCAGAATGGACCAGCGACCATTCCAAGCGGATACATAACATAACGTGATACGTACCTCAAACATGGTAGAGTAATTATAATCAATGTGATACCCAGTCTGAGACATATATATAAACAAATACTAAGTACTATGCTCAGATTCATTAAAATAGCTGCTAAGATACTCGACTGAACTGACATGACTTAACTGGACTTACTGATATAAACTAGGGCTTAACATAAATTGACTTGAACCTAACTGACATTACTGAACTGGACTGACTGGACCTGGAAATTAACTGGAATATCTGACATAACTTGGACCAGATCAAAACAATATTAAAATATAGAAATAACTGGTCTGAACTGGCCAGTTCACTGGCTGGCCGAACTGCCGGCTCGCTATGGCCGGGTGGTCGGCCGCTAACTTGGGCTAACCGACTCGGTCCCGCGCTGGGCCCGCTGATGCCCGGCGCGATCATTGGCATGGATTGGGCACGACATGGGGCTACTGGGCCTTACTGCGTACTACTAGGCGTGATCGCACGCTCGGCTAGGCGCGGACTGCACGCCGCCCGGTGCTGCTGGCATGGCTGGGCACAGCTAAGGGCAACCGTGCACGCTGACGTGCTACTAGGCACGACCCGCGTTGCTGGACATAGCTGGACGCTATCGGGCGCTAGCCCGTGCACCACTGGACTCATAACATGGCTACTGGACTCTTGGGCTTGGCATTGAGGCACTGCCGGGAGCTGTGGGCGCCGACACTTGTGCATGCTAGCACTGCCGGGCGCTGCTGGGAGCTACTGGTAGGCGACTGGGCACGCGGCTATGCTGTGCGCACGCTGGGGGTGACTAGGTACTCGGGCGTGCTGTCAGGCACTGGCCGAGGCCTGCTGGGCACGCTGGCACGCTGCCGGGCGCGCACTGGCATGCTGTTGGGCACACGCACACAGTTGATTGTGTGCTGTCGGCGTGACTGGCGTGCGCTACGTGCACATCCACTGGTGGCACGCTATTAGACGCTGCGGCACAGCTATGCATGATGTCCGGCTGGACACACGCATGCCATCCGCAAGCCTTGGGACTACTGCCAGGCACGCTGGGCCGCTATGTGCGGGCAAGGCAAGTACGGCCGGCCCTTGCCGGCCGTCTGGCGACTTCTTCCAGCAACTTGACTTGAATCAATATAACATGACATAAAGTGACTGAAAATATATAGATTGCTCGAAAGATTATGAATATAACTCAAAATGGCTCGATAGAGCATAAATCGGCCGTGGCGTGCGCTATATGCGCGATCCACGATCGTAACCGATTATCTCGGCCGTTCAGTAACTTCCTCCGACAACTAATACTTATTTGAACATAACATGACATATAACGATTAATAAGACATAAATTATACGGGGGTTGCCGATTAGGAATGAACACAACTCAACATGACTTAAATGGCACGACCGAGGGTAAAATGGCACTAAACATGGACCGGTCTATATGATTTAAACTTAATCTCCATATGAATACATAAACATTACAAGAGGGTCATAATAAGGTTACCCCTTCAATAGCCCGAAGGAAATTGCTAGGACTTGCGATCGCTCGTAACCGTTTGGTAGTGCGCTTGTGCTTCCCTTTGGCGATGACTAGTATAAGCTAGGCTTTCAATATATATTTTATTTTTCTTAGAATATTTGCTATCCTTGCTCTCGGTTTTTTTTTTAGTGGTTCTTCATGATGAAATATTACTACTCATGTCTTTAGCTAGGTAAAGGAAGAAAAATTCTAAATACCATGAGAAAAACTCCTTTTTCCATACGTGCTATGCATATATCCAGTAGTTAAAGAGATTAGGAAGCATGGGGTGTTTAAGATAGGGACACTTGTCTTAAAATCATGACTTGGTGGCATAAAATGGTACCTAATCACTAAGAAAACGTGTCATCACCTTAAAATTTCCACAAATAAACTTACTAAATACTTAACTATAATTAAAGCTAAATGATATAGCTTAATAGTACTAAAATGATATTAGCACGTGTAGTGCATGTCTTAGGCGCAACAGTTTGGAAATTGCACAAGGCGCATGAACTTGACCTTAGGTTAGGAAATTGGTACAACTCTTATACTTACACATATGTACTAAATTCTTAGAATATTTTCAAGCTTAACATGAACCCCGCTAGGGTTGGAAATATTTTGACCGAGTTTACTCGATTTTAATCGGGACTCGACTTCGACAATTAATCTGAATATGTCAATTTTCGAATATTACATCGACTTAAACTTATTAATCCCGAACTCATTTATTAAATAACCGAATCGGAACTAAATCTGTAAACTTATTCGGATACTGAAATAATTAAACTGAATATCTTATCGAGTAATAGTCGAACTTGAAACTGAAATTCAATAACTGGCTTGAAACTCAACTTTGGCGATTAATTGAATATTCTCTAATTCAATTAATACGTCAGTACTATATTAATTAATCCCAGCTCACTAATGTCCATTTATTAAATAAACGGACTGAAATTAATTACTAGAACTGGCTCGGTTAATAAATAAAATTAACTGGATATACTTTCGACTTAACGTCGAACTTGAAATTTAACTGACTGAATAACTTAGACTTGAACATTAACATGAATATTTATTAACAAAGGCTAGCCTATATTAAAAGCTAGTATTTTCCTTTATTAATGAATTTCGGGGTGTTACAGGTGCCGGCCTGTAAGCAAGTGCCATGCGACAAGACAGGGTGAACAGTGCGTCTGTTGTGCAACATTTAAGGACACTATAAATAGAAACCCTTCATTTATTTTAGGTTGTTGAATCTCTCAACTACTACTTTCTCTCTCTAGAATCTTGTAATAAATTTCCGCAATTATCCCCGAGTGTAAGAAAAGTGTCGACCTCGTAATTACTTAATAAAGTCTGATTAAATCGTATTTCTCTCTTATCTCTTACTTTTCACTCTCATTAAACTTTATTTTAATCGTTGGTCGAACCCGTCCACTACAATAATCAATTCTAACTTATAACGTAATAATTTCTAAACATTAACATAATAATAAATTCTATAAGATAATCAATTTTAATTTATAACTTCCAATTTAGAAATTCTAATGTAATTTATATAAAAATTTCATCAAAAAAAAAAAAAGAAGAAGAATACGGCCGACCGACAATATCAGCCGCACAAAGTGGTGGTCGATTGATAGGTCGGACGACCGCCGTTGAGTGCGACCGCAATCTCCAGCCAGCCGATGGCGGTCCAACCGGTATTGCCGCCTACCTTTTTTTTCTAAAACAAAACAACATGACCAAAACGGTCAAAAGAGGGACGGTAAGTAGTAAAAAGAGAGTCGTGTTTAGCAATTCACTTTTATGGTTGGCCAAAATAATTGATGTAGCCTCCTAGATAAATTAAAAAGGTTCCCACCGAAATCACTCTCTCAACTCTTTGTCCTCAAGGTCACATAAATCACTTTCTCCTCTCTTTATAATTGAAAAAAAAAATAAAACATTTACATATATACAAATGAAGTCTGAAAATTTCTTATCTGCACACATAGGCGCACCCTCATGAATCAAATTTCGCAATACACACATACACAGATCAACCACACAAGTGCATGCACACACCATCGCATGCACCACACAACACAAAGCACCCCCGTGAATCAAATTTCGCAACACACATACACAGACCAACCACACAAGTGCGTGCACACACCATCGCTTGCACCACACAAGTCACAACAAACCCCCGGTAGGGCGTAGGCTCATTTGTTTTCATTTAACTACTTACCATTTCTCGTAACGCGATATACAATGCAAACTTTAGCATGTTATCAAAGAGATTAAACAAATCCGGCCACTCTCTAAATTTTATTTTTCCAATGACAATTTAGTAAGCAAAACGTCAATTCAGGTCAACTGTCAGCTTTTTGCAAATTGCAATTTTAAAAAATCGTAATAATTCCAATTAAACGGATCATTTTGTTAATATCAATTCCTAGAAAACTGACAAGTTCTCTAAAGGAATTTGTAGAAAACCAACGGCTCAAAATTTCTCATTCTGCAATTTAGAATAACCCACTACGAAACCAAATTCACAAGAACCAACATGCCACAAACGATTGAGACGTTCTTCCCGAGTGTGAACTGGGGCTACCAACACAACTATGCTGGATTGGTTCACTGAAACGCAATCCCATAAGGAATAAGGTTCAAAATCAAACTACCTAGATGGTCTCCTGGTTTGACAAATATGAATAGTTCAAACTCATCATTGAAATGAACCACACCAATGAAACAATACCATTACTCTAATGATGATGTATAGCTTCAGAGACATATATTCTCCAAGGCCACAATAAAACAATTCAACAAGCAATAATTGCACAATTAAAGCAGGCTAAAAAATAGGAAGCCATAGAATGAAAATACCCACAAACGTGCAATACATTCCCAACATGCATCTTAGTTTGTCAGGCGTGCTCATATCAAATATAAATGTAGAAATGCACACCTAGCATTGAAATGAAACGGATTATGAACCAGTATTTGGATCTTTGACGACTTTGAAGTTGTCAACATTCATTCCGAAACAGCCCAGAATAGAGTTCCCCATTTCTTTCAATTTTCCTACAATCACAGTAAGACCCACTTTACTTGAGGACCTCTAAAATGAAAAATATTTTAGTTATAAAGTGATATGGAGTGCATGGATCGGTAACCAAGTGAATGATAGTAGAGAATTACATGTTACATGGATGACAATTACAGAAACACAGTGTATCTACGCAATGTTAGACATCTGAGAAACATGTGCATGCAGCGATGAAAATGGGTAATGGAAAATACGAAAATTCTAAATAATCCATTTGTATATGCAAACCATTGAGTGCACATGTCCGCTTCATGCAAAATTTATATGAGAAATATAAACCAGGCAAATTATTCAAGGAAAGGTCAATTATGCCAGCATTATCAACTAAGGAGCCGGACATCTCAATTAAAATGATAACAAAATGCATGGAAAAACAACTTAGGATATAAACTAAATGCAGTAAACGTTAGCCCACCAATCATCTCTTCCTTCATTTTTTCTCTTTTTTCATCAGCTAATGGCTTTAAACGACTGATGCTTCTTCTAGCTTGGTCATTTGTTGGATCCAATTCTAAAATCTTAGTCATGTCTGCAAGTAAAGAAACAAAAAATTCAGAAACAAGAAAAACCCACATCAGCAGCAAGGAAAAGAGTCCTCCATGTAAACCAGAGACACCAGTGGGCTGATGAAAACATACTTCAAAATTCAAACAAGTGCTATCCCTGAGAGAAATCATATCATAAACACATAAATTGGATCCAAAAGATTGCGTAGCTTAAAAAGTTCCAGTGTCTGGACAACCAAACTCAATTTCAAATGTGTCAAGAAACAATGGTTATTAGTTATTCCCCACAACTAAGCAGTAACTTCGGGTTGCTTGAATGAACATTACCAGCAATTGACTCTTCATACTGCTCAAGATTTTCCCGCGCCTCTGCTTTTCTTATTAGCGCCTTCATGTATGTTGGGTTCAAATCCAATGCCTTTGAACACTCTTTGACCGTCTCTTTATATTTTCCCTAAACGTGGAGATATTAGAAATGACGTGCATACAAGAAGATCCTATTTACGACATTGTTGGAATTGCTACTCACGCTTTCTATTCAACCACCAAGTCACTAGTGCTTTTTAAAGAGGACTTCGCTAAATTGACATTACACAAATTCATATTACTTATTTGTATTTATCTATATATCATCATATGGTAGTTTGCTTGGTCAGACATGATACGAGATCATCATGAGGTGATTGATAGTAAGTGTGATACCATTTAGTCGAATATGACTATACTGTACATGCACTTTATGCAATCATGTGAAAATCGATTCACTGTATCATAATTAAGATTGAAAATAAGTAGTCAGTGAAGTTGTGACACAATGTTATTCTTCCCTCTCCATGTAAAGTTTAGAGTTGAAATCAGGATGAAGGAATGGAATAAATAGAACAACCAACAGAACATTAACAAGATTATTTTTCTAACAAGTAAACAAAACATGTGCCGCCCAACCTATTTATAAGTTACCCATATAAACTATTCAGAGGAACACATGCCCAAGAAAATGAAGATCCCCTGCTCTTCTTCCTTCCCCCTTCCTCAAAAAAGATTACTTCTGCAATGTTCTTCCTTGACGACCCTAAGAAAATCACACCCCTTGAATTCCTTGCTCTTTGAACCAGCCTCTTAATGATTATAAAAACAAGTAATGAAAGTTATGCACTCTGCACTACAGTGCTTAGATCAATATCTTATTACATGGATAAGGGGTGAGCCCCTCCACTGAAGCATCATTTTGATAATTGCTTATCAAAGGTAAAGGACATGGACATAATGACAGAAGCAAAAAACTTGTAAATTTGAAAATTTTCTAAGACATTTATGGATAAAACTATACCTTGCAAGTAAATAGGTAAGCATTATGACTGGCCTTTTATCATATCTCCAACAACCAATCCTCCTGACAGAAAGGAAACAAGTTTAAACAAATCATCAATCATACAAATAAGAGTAAGTTCGACTAATCTGTATACATAGGTTAATCTGTGAAAGTAACCTGGTCAATGACATCCAAATTTCAATCCAGTATTAATGGAGATAAAACGTTTAATGTGTAACAAGGCAAGATAACGTGCACGCTTTCACACATCCCGAGAAATGTCTTACTTCATTCAACTTACAAAGTAATATTGCTATTCTCATTATTTAGTACAAAACGTTTGCATAAAACAGAAGCCCATCAAATCAAGTGTATCCATGCTACATGTTCTACTGTTCAATCAGGGAAGAAACATACCAGTTTGAAGAAACAAGCAGCTCTATTTGCATGGCATATAGTTCGTATTTCATCAGATGAGGGACAATCTGGGGAAACTTGTATTGCAATCTCATATTTGGCCGATGCCTCTTCATACTCTTCAGCTTTAAAATATGAATTTCCTCAAGTTTTGCATCATTGGCTTTGGCTAATTCTTTCTATTTGTCAAAAATAAGGAAAGGAAAAGTTAGACAACTCGGGCGAAGGCAATTTAGAGCTCGGCTGAGAGAAACAACATAAGAAAAGGAAGCCCAAAAAATCATTCAGAACCAACACCAATTAAAATTTAAATTAACAAGTCAGGGTTGCTTGCCCAACTGTACCTCAGACCTAAAATCTTCCCAAATGATCATATGATTTATTACCAGACCACCCAGAGATAGTATATCTAACACAACTCCACGTAGTTCCCTTATTCATCCATTAGGAGATTCAAGCCACAATTACAGTTCGCATATCACTTCTTTATGAATCAAAGCAAACACGCAGCACGACATTTGAAGGGAAAAGGAACGAAAAGCTTGTCTTCACCTCATTGGCTTCAGCCTCGATGGATTCAACCTTCTCTTGACACACTCTTTCGTTGACCTCGCGACTGACCTCATCGCCGTCAATTCTACCACTGCTTGCATCATTATGATTGCCAAAGCCATTATCTTTATTTGAAGTGGAGTCATTTAGCTCGGTATCGCTGGCAGTCTCGTAGCCATCAGAGCAGTATCCCGACTGCTCAGCCGCTGCCATCCCTAGCCGTGATCTGGAGTCGCTTTCACCCCCGGATTCTTCCTCGATCACCGCCATAGTGAGAAAAATGCCGGCTTGCGTATTTAACCTCATTTGGAGATTTGGATGGGCCGGCATCTTTCACATATTTGACAACACTGTCCCATTTTTTTAAAAAAAAAAACTTTTTTTCCATCTTTTCCACTTCACAACAAACTTACATGCCATATAAAAATCCTATATCCAACTTAATTTGCATAACTAATGTCATGCTTGTTTACCAAATCCCCCTATATATAATTCCCGAATGCGCTGAGTCTGTGGGTGTTTCTGCTGCTTCAGAATTCTACTTGGCGAAGAATCATACTTCGTAATTAGGTTTGGACAAATAATATGGATATATTAATAATTAATAATCTAGGTTCGGATGTTCCATAAATATTATTTAGCTAACATAGGTATTTTAATATCACTTGTACTAATATAACCCTTTAATTCTTTGTAATTTTACATAATGTGCACTAAATGACTAATATATCTCTGACTTTTGATTTGATTCCTTTAATTTCTGGATTATTCATAAATATGTTGATTATTTACGGTCATATTACATGTATTAATTGTATTTTGATATCATTTACTATTATAACTATTGATTTGTCAATGTCTTTTCAAACTTAATAACTTTATTAGTTTTACATATATAATATATCAAATTAATCATCTCTTGATGTGCTTCGATTTAACATCCATATTGTATGTATAATATCAATTATATTAATCTTTATACCATTAATAAAATTGTTAAATATTACTTAGAAAAATAAAATTATTTATCAATTAATATATTTATATTTCAAGTAGTTATATAATATAAATTATAATAATTACTATAATATAACACACATAAGTTGCACAATTAACAAATTTTCTTTTTTTTTTTGGCCAGAACGATAGACGAACTTTTATAAACCAAGCGCACAAAGTGCGAATAAAAATACAAAGCTCCCAACGGGAGAATAAAAAACAACCTAAAACTGAAATCTGGGAGGACAGGTCAGGTGACCGCCTAGTACCCCGAATCTAGCAACGCTAGAAACCAAAAATTAGACTCACAAGACAACTACTACAACAAAACACAAATAAAAACTACAAAGCTCCCCACAGGAGAATCGAGACGGGAGCTGCTTCTCACAGGAGAATCAAGGTTGCTCCCGCTCATGCATACAGAGATCAACTTATCCAAACCAAAAACACAAGATCCTAAACAACACCACTAAGACGACAAAACACAAAAACACAAAACTAAATAAATATAATAGCCCTTCCCCAGCGAACGAGAAAGCCTGAACTAGAAGTGAACGATTAACACAAGACCAATCAAGACCAAACACCAGCTACCGAAACTGCAATCAAGCCTATACAGCAGCTGAACCTAAATCCCGAACCAGTCCCTGAATCAACCCATCAACAACCAAGAGGGCCTTAGTCAATCTCACTCCGACTCCATCCGAACTCATCTAACACCACTAGACGAGGCCAGAAGAACCTCCCCCGCCGCCTAACACCACTAGTCAACGGGGGATTGAGCAAGAAGAGAAGAACCCTCCCCCGACCGCCGCAACAAGGAGCAGCGCGGTAGCCGGGGTCCCGCCCCACCCGACAATTCGCACACCACCCATCTCCACCGCAGACAACCAAAGACAATCGGACCGGCCCCACCATAAAAGGTGAAGCGCTGCCGGAGAAAGCTGAAGCCGACACTCGCAGACAGAGGGAGAAATAACGGGGCTTACCGATACAAATCGCAGCTCCTCCGAGGACTGAAAAGAAGATTCCAATCGCCGGCCTTGCTTCGACCTCGAGGTGCGCCACCGCCGTCCGACACTCCATCTACAGCCACGAACCCGCCACCCCGTCAATGGACCATCCGAAGCAGAGAAAAGGGGTGCTCTTCACCAGGGGGCCGCGAACAGTTGAGGACGACCCCTAGACGCGCTTTTCCGTCACTGAGGAAGGTAGAATCGCCGGAATTTCGAGAGCTGAGGGATATGGTTTTTCGGCGTCGAGAGAATTGGGGGAACTCTTTTTTTTTTTTTCATTCTAAACTATATAATAATATATATTTTTTGTAAAAAAAGAAAATAAAATTTAAAATAATTTTCATGGTTAATTTTAAAATTTCAGTAATTTTTTAACAAGCACTCGTGTAATACACGAGTGTTGTACTAGTAATCCATTCAAAATGAGTTATCTTGATTAACTAAAGTTAATTATAGAAAATATGGTATGGTTAGTTATTAATGGAATTTTAAGAATGTATTAAAATAATATTTAAAATAAATTGATTAATATTAATTTGATGAGTTAATTTGGTTAACTAAAGTTAATTTTAGAAAACGTGGTATGATTAGTTATTAGTGAATTTTTTAAAAATGTATTAAAATAATATTTAAAATAACTTAATTAATATTAATTTGATGTAGAAGTAGGAGATAAATGATTGGAAATGATATGTAGTTAAAATTATGTGAGTTGATGAATAATGAATTAAAGTTGATGTGATGTATAAGAATGATTGTTTTGTATTATTTAATTATATAAATAATAAGGATAGTGGGGTTGCGTTAAGTTGAGTTAGATTTTGAGTATGAAATGAATATTAGTAAAATAATTTGTAAACAAACATGCCCTAAACAATTATGCGAGGCTTTGTCGTATATATACCAACGCATATTCGGTCGGACATATAGTTAATAATTATACACACCACATTTGCATATTTTTAACTCGGATATACAAATCCATCGCATATTTTTCCATATGCGAAACTCTTTCGCACATATAGTTATCGCATATCCAAATTTATTTATTTTTTTCAAACAATAGAATAACTTCAATAATCAAAGGAAACCAAATCTAGTACACAGTTCAATGGGATTAGACCTTACAAACAGCCGAGAAGAACATGGAAATACATACCACAAGTATGATCTAGAAACCACACACCCGGAGAAACTGAAGGCAGCACTAGAGTTGAGTCCAACAGAACCCAACACAAAACCAAAACTATAACACCAACAACAACATAACAACAAACAGAATACAACAAAAACATAAAACCACAAAACAAAGAGTAACCAAAAGGCATTTTTTCCTCTTTAATTGTAGCTTTTGCGCGAAGTTTATTCTCTCTCCCTATTCTCTCGTCGGGGAGTTTATTCTCTTGTTCGAGAGTTTAGCTAGCGTTTTATTATCTCTTTAATTAGTGACAGGGTGCTTTGGAGTAGTCTATTCATTGGTGTTTTTTCGTCTAGGGTTACTTGTTTTTGGGTGAAGCTGTGCAGGGACTTCTGCGTGGGATTTTGACAACCCGAAGATTTACGCTTGGTTTTGAAGGATGGAGGATGAGCTAGGAGCCAAGCTTCAAAACATCCAGTTGTCCATGAAGGAGAGTAGCATTGTCGAACTGGAAAATGAGGATGTGAGAATCAGTGAAGAGGAATGTCTGCGCAATCTTTTAGGCAAAATTATTTGAGACAAGAAAGCTAGTATCTTTGGGTTATAAGAAATATGGGGGCGGTCTGGCAAACAACAAAACCCATTGACGTTAAGGAACTGGGTGCAAACTTCTTTCAATTTATTTTTGAAAGTAAGGAGGACTAAAAGAAAGTTTTGGCTGGTATCAATTGGGTTTTTTAGAATCAATATCTAGTTTTACAAGATTGGAAGGGGGACATGATTAAACAGGATCAATGCTTCAAGGAGATAACCCTGTGGGTTTAGGTTCACAAAGTTCCCCTAAATTGGATTAGCTCAGAAGTCGACTTAAAGATGAAATTATTTAAAAATTTGAAGAATGTTGCGGTGGTGAAAGTTGGGGGTGCCAAAGGAAGTTATCTTAGGCTCCTGGTTTCTATTGATACTTCCGAAACTTTGCCTAGATGTCCTCATATTAATCTAGGTAATCAGCTTTCGGAGGTCTCATTTCAATATGAAAAGTTGGTAAACTTCTGTTATTATTGTGGGTTGGTGGGCCACCTAGAAAGATTTTGTGGTTTAAGAGTTGGTGATATTGAGAATGGTAAACTGCTAGAGGGTCAATTTGAGGATTGGATGAAAGCTGTAAAATATACCAAAAATGCAGGGTCTTCTCAGAGTTCTCACCGATCTAATAACTCTAATGGTCATAGTAATCCACCTCACAATAGGGGGCCATCTTCATATAGGAATGAAACTGAGGTTGAACTTGGGAAAGGGGTGGAAGTGTCTGATGCTGCCTCTCTGCCTATTAGGAGAGAGTTGGGAGGTGCTTCTTCAGCTCTTGATGTAACTGAAGTGGCCCAATTATTCATGAGCATGAGAAACAGAAGGAAAACTAAGCCTATCTTTACTACCTCAACCTGTTGGATTGGAAGATATGGAAAGTACTAAAAGAAAAACCCCAGACTTCACTATGGAAATAGATGAAAGAATCCAGAATTACATGAAAGAATCCAGAATTACATGCAGGAGAAAAAATAGACCCAATCAAAGAAGAAGCAAACTTCTTATTAGAAAAGGCAACATAACTCAGTGGGATGACTCAAGAGAAACAAAGATGATATTTCCTTGAATCAGAACTTAGTGATTATAAAAAGAAAGAGACAAACTAGAGGTAGGGCATAAAAGGTTGGTGTGATTGGACAACCTACGAAGAAATTTATCAAGACTCAAGCAGATGATTTGAAAAATGTAGGGGTAGCCAACCTAAAATATCCCTAAACTAATCAATGAAGACAATTTTGTGGAACTATAGAGGCCTGTGAGGGCCCTCTACAGTATCCCAGTTAAAGGATGCTATAAAGACCCACCTCCCAAGTTTTGTTTTCTTATTAAAAAATAAAACGTTGTTTACAGATACTGTGTGTAAAAGTTGGGTTTTATTGATAGAAGGAAGGCATCAGAGCTTATGGGGTCAAGTGATTGCTTAATTTTGCTTTCGAGTAGTGAAGTGGAGGTTTTTCAAGTGGTGCAACTGAGTTTTTGCTTGTAGGTGGAGTTTAAGGCTATGAAGGATTGTCCCCCCTGAGTGGTTTATCTTAGTGTAAGCTAGCATTGATAAAAAAACTTAA